GAACCGTAAAATAATGTGTTGTGGTTAAGCTACGAGAACGGATGCAGCGAATACGCTACACGAAGCTACATTTGCTGAACAATAGCTTTTTGATCAGGCATGTCTATCGAAAGTTGTTTTGAAGAATTTAAGACGACTATGTAGCGCTGATCTGCATTATGTAGAAAATGTGTTCTTATTTCCTAATACTTACTAATTTATCGAACATTTTCGCAACTTCTGCTTGGTGGTGACTTCGATAATCACAATTTTAAGAACAGCCACGGTGATGTTCCTGTCGTAAAACTGACTCGAGAAATTAGACTGTCCCACTAATTCACAAGCATACTCCTGTATTCGGCTAGCTTTATTTGGTAATACGATTGTGCGAGGCCAGTTCTCATTTACTACTTGTGAATATCATGCCTTAGCCTAAATTCACCCAGTTTACTTTGTTTGGTGTAAGCTTCTAAGTAGAACTATATGGTTTCCGCGATAAACATGAAGAAATTCGGGGTCCATACACATAATAGTGCATTTTGAAAACAGCCCAATTTTTGAACTCATAATTTCATATAAAATTCTGTAACTATCATAAAATATATGGTGGAGTTCAACAGCCCTCGTTACGTTATTTTAATTGTAGTTAGTTTGATAGAGATATTGCTTCCCGTTCCGGATACATGGCCAAAATAGTCATTTTGATTGTTCACTACACAAAGTTGCTTCTGTGGTCGTATTACAGAGATGGAATTTAACCTGAAAGTGTAGAACAAAATTGATGTAAATCTGGTCAACACAGAAGCGTATCGATCGAGCATGAACTATTGGTGTCCCAGTGCAGCCGCTTGAGGTGTAGCTTATGCGTTCTATCGAAGTATTATGCCACGGAGGTAAGCAATGGCTCCAGCGTTGATCGCGCATGATTCATTGCTATCAGCGGAGTATGACCCGATATGACTTTTCCGAGTGGAGTATATCATATTTTGTACCTTAGCTATTTTCTCACGCCGTATTCCGCAAAATTGGCAACAAATTTACACATTGCCGCTTTAAAAAAAAAGCTCACTTTCACAATAAACATTTTATTGGTCAAACCCTACGCGAAATTCTTAGCTAGTAGCAGAAGATTCTCGTTCCTGAGAGCAACAAAGCTACCCCCATAATCCACGTCAAGAAATTTGGAACCCATGGAAGCAAAACCCTTCGTGTGGTGATCAATATTCTTTACGCCTTTCCAGATGTTACTTTCAGCCTAGGTTACATCAGAATATATATATATATATATATATATATATGTCGAGAGAGATTTAACAGCGGCTTGTGAACAAGCATGGTGCAAAAGCCACAACAATATTAACAATAACAGGAGGGGGTTGGGATACAGACTATAGGGAAAAAGACGTAACTGTTACGATGGAAGATTACAAATCAATGGAATAACAATTTTTTGTGTGTCTCACCTTACACTATTTGAAATTTTTTGTGTTATTGTTGTTTTCACGGGGTACGGGATTTTGACAGGCAGACCGTAGAGCATTCGTGCCACTGACTCTTAATCTCGGTCATATCTCTCAGGAAGTATTAAAACTCTTCATTTTCCCCTGGGGTAATTGTTTGGCATTGTGACGACAGTAACTTTTCAATATTTTGCACAGCAGAAACACTTTCCCTCTATAAAATAACCTCGTGAAATTGAACCTCAGAACTGTCTGTATACCAAAACGGGAATATAGGTAAATCGGTGGCCAAGAAATGCAAAACTTGTGGTGGACCTTGGTAGCAGTTCATGGAGTATACACGAAGGTAAACAAATCAGTGGCTAAAGTTTGAAAAATCAGTCAGATCAGTATTTTGGTAAATCCCTCTATTGCATGATTTGAACTGACTATCCTTCGAAATTTACCTTCGCGCGCAATCCTCAGTTCATCGATTCAAATTAAATGCGAAAAATCTCTCTATATTTGGGTTTATGTGGCCTTTATTATTAAGCCGTCTGGACAAATTAATTTTTTTACACCTTGATGGCACATGATTCATGTTTTTTTCCGGACTACCCAATGATCTTCACAAGCTTTAATTGATTGACAGTAAACCTACGACACAAAAGCTCCCAGTCTACAAGGCGCGGACAGTCCGAGAGCGTACAGCACAATCTACACTAGGGATATTATTGCACCCAAGCTATCACCTCGTGGAATGCTCCTAAATGATCAAGCTTCTCGAATAGCCTCCACCGCGGTACAGGTGTTTTCCATCGAAATGATAGAATAGAAATCCCAATTCTGGGGTTGTCACCACTATGTTGCACCACGAGCATATCACTTCGGGTATCCCATACCAACCAAGAAGCACACCCACCCACACCTTTCTGGTTGTGGTAGTTCTCATCGGCTCAATCGGACATCGAAGTGTATTGAGCACCTTGGACTTTTGATTCCGCCCATATGGCGTATGATCCGATGAACTGGAAACCAGACCCCGACGGACTGAAGTTTTCCTACATCGCACCCTCGTACTTTGACCAGTCAAAGGGTTTGAATTACTGAAGAAAATTCATCTACCTCTGCGTAGATAACCTAGAATAAGCGCGCTAACCAACAAACCAGGGAATCTTTTATTTCTTGTCTGGACTTCAGTCTAAACCTAAGCGTGCAAGAATACATATGTATTGGATGATGGTAAATGCATAGACTATCGGAGGACGGAAGTAGATACAAAGAAACATGACTTGATCGGGGGACTAATTTCATCAAAACGGCGACCTGGACGAAGTACTGCTTACATTCTTACTCAGTCAAATTTGTTGACAGCAGAATCCAGTCTGAATGCTGGCTGTCCCATTGTATATTCAACAAATAATGATGATTTCATCACGGCGAGGAAGAACCACATTTCAAAAGGATAACATGAATTCAGTTACTTCGGGTAGTCTCAATCAGCTGCATACGTACAATGACATTCAAGAGTAAACAACAACAAAGGTATGATAGGTTATCGGACAAATAAACTCACCACTTGGGCCAATCACAGATCAGGGGCAAAGGTTACACAGTCAACCACGGCGAATGCACACATGACAGGGCAAGACTGGCCACAAAGTTTTATTGTTTACACAAATGGGTTTGAGCCGTCGAATGGCGGAGGCTTCAGCAAACTGAAGTAGACGATGGTGTTGTTGTCTGCTTATGATCCTAAAAGACTTGCTTGGCTCCGCACACAAGTTGCAGTCTAATATGTGGCGAGCAATAGAGATTTTAAGAACTTTATCTCCCTTCAGCGCTAGATTCTTGGGAATGTGTTCGGAGATCCTTACGGATAGCCTTCTCTCAGTTCGTCCAGCGTACTTGCTACTGCAAGTACACTCGAATAGATAAATACAAAAGGAGGTAACTTGAGAAGACGCTTGGTTTTGTGCAGAATGTTTAGTGAGGCTGCATGAAATGTGTTGTGGGTTATTTGTTGTATGCGTCGCTGGAGAGGTCTGCCATTTTCGTCTCCTTTGAACGGGATGGTTAAGTAACGTCTTTTTAGGGTCATCGGGTATTTTTTGCTTAACCGTTGTTTCTTCCGCGTACCTTTTGATGCACCTCAAAGGGGATCCATTTTCGAGTAGATTCGACTGAATTGAAAGAAGATTACTGTCCAAGGACTCTTCTGAACAAATTCGACGAGCTCGTGTGAATAGAGTACGATCAAGGGCACACTTGTAATTTATAGAACAGTAACGTTTGAAATTAAAATACTGACCGGTTCACGTCAGCTTATGATACACGGAACGGTTCAGTGTACCATCTTCTCTGCTCGCCAAGTGCACATCGAGAAATTGAAAAGTGTCTTCTGATTCGTGCTCGCTTGTAAACTTAAGATCCTTGTGGCAGCTGTTCATGTCCTTCAACGGTTGATTTGCTTGATCAACATTGTCAACAACGACGAATGTGTCATCAACATATCGGGTGTATAGCTGAGTTTTATGTATGAACTCATGGAGTTTGGTGGTCTCTAAATGTTTCATAAATATATCAGCTAGCACAGGTACAAGTGAACTACCCAGTGTCACAACATCTGTTTGTTTGTATAACTTTCCATTGAATTTAAACGGTACGTTTTTTTGCACATTAGAACTAAAGATTCACGAAGATATGGTGGAAAATTCAATCCATGGGTATGTTGGCACAATATGTCAATGGTCTCTTTGATTGAAATATTATTAAAAAGAGAGCAAACATTATAGGAACCCATCTATTTACGGGAGACATTAAGATTCCGAACTTTCTCCACGAACTCAAAGGAGTCTTTTAAAATGTAAACTGATAGTTCGTCACGAATCCGTTTGATTAAATTCGATACCCAACGAGCCAGCTTCTGATGTGATGCACCAGCCATCGATTAAATTGGCCTTAGTGGAATACTATCCTTGTGAATCTTTGGGAGACCATAAAGACGGGGAAGGCGTGACCAACGAGGTTTCAACGAGAATGCAGTTTTGGTTTCGATCAAACCTTCTGAAGCCATTTGTTTTATTATGCTTATTACTTTCTGTTCAACGTTTGCAGTTTTATCCCATTTTGAGTTTTCCTCTGCAAAACGGGTACCATTTCGGATAATAGACAACATTTTGTCGATGTAATCTTCCTTGTTCAACAGGATTGCACCTGATCCTTTATCCGTCCTTAGGATGATAACATCCTCATTTCGACGAAGTTCCTGAAGAGAAGGATTTTGGATATTGGACAGTACTTATCAGTCCGAGCAACGGAAATCTGAGTGGCAAGATCGACAGCACGAGCTCCTAACCAACTACATGGATCTGTAGAGTCGGGTTCCAGATCAGATAATTGTTCATAAAAATAATCAAACTGAGGTTCTATGAATTCAAGGCATCATCATCAGTATTAGTAAATACATTTAAAATAATTCTACAACAAAAATATCTCATTCAATATTTTCCTTCGCGTCTGACTAACTGGTTTGTCGAACTTCCCACCATCTGTTTCCAGTGTGCCTCTGTTGGACACAAAATGGAGTGTCCAACGGTTGCGTCGGTTGTGGAAAAGGCACAGTATGAGGACAGTACAATAGATGAGTCAATGATCACCCTACCCCTCCGTCTAAGCATCACTTTGCCCGGAGTTTCTGCCCAGGACTCACAAGTGAGCGAATCCCGTCGATCGGTCAGTTTAAAACGTGCCCCATTCTATTTTGATCGATGCCAAGGTAAGAAATTTCTCATCCTGCTGGTCTCGTGTTGCGCATCCGTGATTCATGCTATGGCTCAACTGACCATTAGTATCCAATGGATCAGTGAGGGAGATTTGAACCCACTCCTATCGCACCATATCATCATCGCGTTGTTCACTCTGGTATTGACCGGACAGGTGATGTTCCGGTTTGTGAGTGCCAGTAAAAAAATGCAGTTTGCCACAATTCAATTAATCACCACACTGATCATGACCTGTTTGCTCACTTTGTTCACCCTAATTGGCACAATTGAACAACTGATCCCAGACACATATGCTGGACCGTTGGCACAACCTCAGCAGAAAATCACGTTCCGAAAAGATGCATCCAGTAAGACCCCATGGATCACGATTGCCGAAGCTCCGTTGGGTGCGTTCAGTAGGGATTTGGGCATCTTTCTGTGTGTTTGTGGTCTCCTATCTCTGGTCTGTCCGATCCAGAATGTGATCACACTGGGCTTTGTGCTCCGATCGAAGGAGATGAAACGACCCAGTTATCGGGCCTCCACAACACGAACGGATAGTTCGACCGACAGTGACAATGTAATTATGACTGGTTAATTTATTATTTCCCCCCATTTGCTTCACCTCGCAGATTACATTAAACATTATACCTACATATATATATATATATATATATATATATATATGTATCGATTCACTCCGACAGAACTTCACTGAGCACTCAGTTGTCAGATTACTATTTATCACGTACACACGATAATTGCAAACCAGATCCACTTTTTTGTTTGATTTTGTTCCACTCGGGCTTTGTTCAGTCATGTTTATCACAGATTCGCTCTCGTGGAACGCTCAATCCATGAACGAACTACCTAAAACAATAAACCCAGCGTGAGTAAGCTCATGCAGTTTATTTAGATGTTGAACTCAGTTGCATGCCTGCTATCTCCCACTCTCCGTTTCCTGTACATCCATGTAAAAATAACGGATGTCATTCTACCAGATGATGTGGTTGAGTCTTCAAACGAGATGTTTAGTGATCAGTTTTCGTGAATTTTGGCATGCGGTGGATGGTGCTAGATTCTAGTGTGACCCAGTAAACGTTTGACTGAATCACATTCTTTCGGAGTCTGATGCGAAAAGACTGTTACTGTGCTCAATTTTCATTGAACGGCACCAGTTCCGAGAAAAAGATCATCACCTTAACTAATGGGAATATTATTATTATATTATTATGGATATTATTAATATAGGACATTGATTTTTGTTTGCAACTCATAATAACTTGTGATTACTAGTGGGGGATGAATGCGAATCCGGACGAGTCGTTGGATAAATGACGAGCATTGATGAGTACAGCATTCAAGTCTATAGGGCCTCTTGAGTCTGAAGATGACTGGGTGATATAAGGACTGTGTGTGAAGATAGAATTGAAAGCATGGTCACACATGGCGGAAACGATCCGTTCGTTCTTTTGTCGACCATAGTTCACTCAACTTAAGAAAAAAAACTGTGAGGTACACGAAAAAATGGATTAATCAGTAGATACTGGTAGGATTCAAACACAACCTCAAAGCTCATGTGATAGTGTAATGAGAAGGCGAGTTGGCTGGCAAAACGTTTATCGATTCAATTCAAAAACAATCGGTGTATGCGTTCAGTTATATACAATCAATTCTTAACAGCGCGACAGGATGATTCATGCCTCATTCTGTTGGTCAACCCCTGTTGGTTTTGGTCCGCACTTCGCACGTACGTTGTCTTTTCTTCCGCGTGCCGTTCTGACTGGTTTGACCCGATCGCAGTGCAAGATACATTGATCGACAGCTCCGCCGTTGTGGTATTCGGTGGATATATTTCTGACTAGATGCGCATTGTCCGTCCGGCTGTAATTGTCGATTCGTTCGTTTCTAGTGGTAGTCGACATTGTCTCGCGAAGTACTTCCAGCCGCTACGTCTGCGCATCTGGTTGGATGGGTCCTATCCTTGATTCGTTCGCTTCCGGGGCTCTCTTTGTACCACCTTTCATCACAGTAATTCAGTTCAGTTTCAGTTTGAACAACCATTAACCACGCATATTCGTGCGCCGGTTTTGGTTGCTGTCTTTTGGCTGCCCAGTTGGATGAAGAATAGGAGAAAAAAGGAAAGCTAAGCGGAGTCGAAGAGAAAATGGAGAAGTTCAGTGGTCTAAGGTTACAAAGAGATTGAGAAGATGCACGAACGCCACGGTTTACGACATCCAACCATATCGCTCAGTGTCTCTAACCATCGGATACGATCATCCCGAGGACCCCAGTCAGGGAGCCTAACAGGACCTATGCGACCCAGTTTCCGGGTTATGGTTTTCATACCCTCGTGCCAGGTCTTACCTTGACCAGCCTTGGCCTTTTTCTACTCAGTGTCTGTTTCGGCGAACATCGCTCGCCATGGAAACCTATCTGATGACATGCGTAACACATGTCCCAACCAGCGTAATCTATGGAAGTCGACCACTTGCTCCAGTGGGAGACCGCGGATACCCAAAACTCTGCGTCTAACCTCAGCATTGCTCATTCGGCTACCCCAACAGATTCTTGCAATACTATGTAAACAGCGGTGTTCAAACACCGGCAGTCTGTATTTATGCTGTTTTCCTAATGGCCAAGTTTCTGCACCGTAGAGCAGGACTGGCCGAACTGTCGCGGCATACACTCGACCCTTCACAGACAGCCGGATGTCGCGACGGCGCCACAGATGTCTCAAGTTGGCAAATGACAATCGAGCCTTCTGTATGAGAGCTGACACTTATTCCGTGATGCGTCCACCGGGTGAGATGCAGCTGCCCAAATAAAAAACTTATCCACCTGCTCTATTACTTCCTCAGTTAGAGTGAGGCTGGGTGCTGGACCAACCCAGTCTTGTAGCAACATTTTACAATTTGAAGGTGCAAAACGCAAACCAGACCTGGTTACGCTAGCACTCAAACTATACAGAAAAGCTTGTAACTTACCTGGATCGTCACTTAGTAGCACAATGTCCTCTGCGTACTCTAGATCAGACAGCCTGCCGCTTGGGAGTAAATCGATGCCAATGTCCTAGCTCGAGGATAGGGCTGTTTCAAGAATCACATCTATAACAAAGTTAAATAGAAATGGAGAGAGAGGACAACCCTGACGAACACCACTTTCCGTGGTGAACTCGGGTGAAAAAGTGCTGTAATCTCGAACTAGGCTTCGGCTGTAAAAAGAGATTGCAAAATTGAAATTAACTTCTCGGACACACCTTTCAGAGAAAGGCA